TGGATGCAGTAGCTCAAAAGAGGGAACAAATCTTTACAGCGAGGATCATTCCCACCCCCTCCATACACAGAGTAGACAGGGATGGGCAACTTGGACATGGGATACCCAAAATGGGGAGGGCTACAAAGGCAAGAAGAGACTAGCTTACAAGCTTTCAAGAGGAAGCCTAGATCCAGAGGACACAGAGGAAGGTAGAATCTCTAATGAGTAGTATCCAATCTGTCTGGGCAAGGCTGATGAAACGAGATGGGGATAGGTCTCTTGTGATACAATAGTGAATAACTGTTATCAGGACTGATTATGAGGGTTGGAAATGTAAAGGTAGACACATTTTGTAGCAAAAGGAGGGGAGTGACTGACTTTGCAGTCTAGGAGCGGAGGTCCCTGGGACCATCAAGGGAGACGAGTGGACAGCAGGACCCTACCCAGAGAAGCAGTGATACCAGAGATGGAGGCAGAGACAATGGCAATGAAACAATATACGACAGAATAAATGTAAAGCTAATGTTCTCCCATGTAAACTATCATATAATGCACAATAAACATTTAAAAAATAAAAAAAGAAGTTATTTGTCAAGTCTGAAAGTAAGGAGAGCTTTAAGCTACAAAGTATTAGATGACAATTTAAACTGAAAAAAAATTTTTTTCACTATGTAAAATTTAAAATATTTACATATTAAATACATTAATTATATATCTGCTAATCAGATGTGTGATTCAATACCACAACACTAGCCCCATGTGGCTATTGAAATTTAGATTATTCAGCTAATTAATTGAAACTGCTTTTGAAATAATTTTAAATTTTATTTTCTCATTTTCAGTAGCTGCATTATAAGTCATCAATACCTACTGTGGACCACACAGATAACCGATTACTTCCATCATTGTAAAAAGTTCTGTTGAATAAAAGTGACTTAGTGTGTATCATATTTTTAAAAACAAGAGAACAATAATTTTTTAAAAAAGTTTAAATGCACGTAGCAGTTAATATACTTAAAAGGGAGCAATGCAATGCAGGGAATTGATTATACAGGTGAGAGAAGAGCTGAGATGCTATGCAGGTAGGTTATGTATCAATTTACCACCCCTAAGACAGTAGGATCTTGGGTCCAAAACTGAACATAACCAGTCTAAAGGCTGAAACAACAGATTTCTCCAGTGGCAGACAGTAAAGACAAGACATACATCCTCTGCCAGTTTTGGACCTTCCCCTGAGATAAAGAGGGAAAAACACCCTGAGCTCTTCTTTTCTCAGTCTTCCAATCTCCTGCCAGTACCTTCCATAGCCAAACCCAGACAGAAGCAAAACGACAAAGGAACCTGGGAAATGCATCCTATAGGTGTCATTAAAAAGCTCAGCATTGAAAGAAACAGAAATAAGACTAAGGCTAAACAGGTTAAAGCCTGTCGTAATTACAAAAAGACAATTTACAAATAGCCATTTGAAAAATGTCCTAGGTCTCTCATAATTAAATAAACATAAATCAGAACAATTGATAATAAAATAATAATTATATTACATTTTAAATAGCAAATAATCACTTGAATACTTAAGGCTGATGTGGGTATGATGTTGTTGTTGTTGTTAAGAACCTTTGAGTAGGCTCTGAGATACATTCATATACTTCTGGGGGAAGTAATTATTTTTCTAAATATTTTTAAAGAAACTGGAACTACTTTGCAATCTTCATTAACAATGTCTTTCATGTCTAGATCACTAGCCCTACAATGTGCATTTCAAAGGATACATCCAAACTCCAGAAAATGTGAATGCCAGAAAAAGATTTAAAAGCAAAGATATTCACTGTAGCTTTAAATCTTGGGGGGATGAGGGGAGTTTAATGGGAGGGAGGGAAATGGAAAGAAACTCACTGTCCCTCAGCAGTACAATGTTGTTGTTGTTGTTGTTAAATGTCATTGAGTCAGTTCTGACTCATAGCAATCCTTTATAGGGTTTCCAAGCAGTGGTTGGTGGGTTTGAATTGACAACCTATGGTTAGCAGTCAAGTGCTGATCCTACAGTGCCACACCAGAACACCAGCAGTACAATGTTGTTGTTGTTGTTAAGTGCCGTCGAGTCACTTCCGACCCATAACGACCCTGTATTGGGTTTCCGAGGAGTGACTGGTGAGCTTGAACTGCCGACCTTGCAGTTCAAATGGCTTTAGTTAGTATAAATTAAAGTATGTTGATGTGATGGTGTGCGCTCGACTGCAAAGTCAGTTTGAATTGCAAGGTCAAGCTCTTTGAAAACCCTATACAGGGTCACTATGGGTCAGAACTGATTCGACAGTAATTAACAGCAATCCTGGTATGGCTCTATAGGATCAGTACTGGACTTTTAACCACTAGGTTGGCAGTTTACACCTACCAGCTGCTCCTTGGAAACCCTATACAGGTTGCAGAGTTGGTACAGACTTGACAACACTTAATAACAACAACAATCTACTCATTCTGAAATAGCAGAGTTCCTTATTGCCAAGTACAATGGCAATTGTTGGAAATTCAAAAAAGAATAAGTAATAAAATCATTTTTAAGTAATTTAAATAATATTTATAAATAATTTCTGAATAAAGCTGAGTCTAAAATGATTTCGGAGTCCTGGTATGGTGCTGTGGATTAATGTGCCAGACTGCAAAGTCGTTTGAACTGCATAGTCAGTGGTTCAAGCTCACTAGCCGCTCCTCAGAAACCCTATACAGGGTCGTTGTGGGTTGGAACCAACTAGATGGCACTTAACAACAACAACAAAATGATTTTGCTTACGCTGAACAAAATATGCCTGAAGTTGATACTAGTTGCCTTTATTTGGTAAATTTGTAAGTTTATTTTTATTTTTTCTCTACTTTATATTTTTCTGAACTTCAAAATTTGGCAAAGAAATATATTTTACAGTTCTCATCCAGAGCTATTACTCCAAACGTTTAAGAACAATAAACCTGGCACAACAGTGCCAGTTTACCTGTTGCAATAATAAACCGCATTGTTTGGATCCAATTCTATTGCCTGTGTATAGCAATCCACTGCAGCAGCATAATTTTCTTCTTTCATGTGATTATTGCCTAAAATAAGCAATACATATAGTAAGTACAAAATACAGAAAAAGATTTTGAAAGATCAATTCTAATAATTGAAACAGTAATAAAATGATTTTTCAGTCACAAAGGAAATAAGCTTTATATTGTATTAATAGATCACCTTCAGTCTGCAGTCACAAACAGTGCAATCTTAAAATTTAATGCTTGCATATTTTATAAAGAGTTCTGGTGTGGTGTTGTATGATAAGCATTGGACCCAAAGGTTGGCAGTTCAGACTCACCAGCCACTCCTAGAAAACCCTGTACAGAGTTGCTATGAGTCAGAACCATAGCAACTGGCTGGCACTTAATAATAACATATTTTGTAAGATCCAGGCCTCATTACAAGAGTAAATGCAACAAGTATAATTATGGTGGTGGTAGTTGGTGATTGCGTGCTTTCGAGTCCAGCCCAACTCATAGGGTTTCCGAGGCTGTAAATCTTTACGGGAACAGAAACGCTAATCTTTCTCCCAAGAAGCAACTGGTAGATTTGAACTGCTGACCTTGATGTTAGTCGCCCAACACAACCCACTATGCTACCTGAGCTCCTTAAATATGACTATGTTGTTGTTGTTAAGTGCCATCAAGTCAGTTCTATCTCATAGACACCTTGTATACG